AAGAATCACGTTCTGTCTATCTGTCTATCTATCTATCTATCTATTTATCTGTCTATCTGTCTAGCTATCTACCTACCTCTCCTATCCTCTCCTCTCCTCTCCTCTCCTCTCCTCTCCTCTCCTCTCCTCTCTCCTCTCCTTTCCTCTCTCCTCTCCTCTCTCCTCTCCTCTCCTCTCCTCTCCTCTCCTCTCCTCTCCCCTCTCCACGCTTTCAGGCGCTTGCCATGCGAGCATTGAATTTCCGGCGTTAGTAGGGTATTAGTAGCAAAAACACAACATTTCCCGACCTCGAACCGATGCGTTTTCATGGCTAATTCTCTACTGGCAACGGATTTCGGAAGCTTTCCGATCTTTGCCATGCGAGCATTGAATTACCAGCGCTAGTAGGGGATTAGTGGCAAAAACACAGACTCCGAAACTCATGCGTTTTCATGGCTAATTTTCTACGAGCGACGGATTTCGGACGCTTTCAGATGCTTGCCATGCGAGCATTGAATTTCCAGCGTTAGTGGGGATTAGTAGCAACAACACACCATTTCCCGACTCCGAACCGATGCGTGTTCATGGATAATCCCCTGCTAGCGACGGATTTCGGACGCTTTCAGACGCTAGCAACAACACAACATTTCCCGACTCCGAACCGATGTGTTTTCATGGCTAATCCCCTACTGCCCTACTAGCGACGGATTTCGGAAGCTTTCAGATGTTTGGCATGCGAGCATTGAATTACCAGCGTTGGTAGGGGATTAGTAGCAAAAACACAACAGTTCCCGAACGAACCGGTGCGCTAATATCCCCTACGAGCGGCTGGTTTCGGACGCTTTCGGTCGCAGGCAATGCGAGCAGCGAGTTTCCGCGGCTCGCAAGTATAGTAGCACAAACACACATTCGCCGCCTCCGGAACGGTGCGTGTTTTCATAATCCCCTATTAGCCGCGGCTGCAGACGCTTTGCGGACGCTCGCGAACGCTTGCGGGCGCTCCGCACATCTCCGCACGGATTTCGCGTCAACTCCTATAACCCCCAGACCCCCAAGCTCTAAACGAGAACCCTTCTGCGCATTCGGGAAAATATTATGACTCCTACAACCACTATACTTGTATTACTCTTGCCAGTATCGATACTCCCTTACAATGACCACTGCAGCTGTTGTGCAGCAGAAATGTTTTACGGCCTATACCACTGAAAGTTGGAAGTTCGGCGAAGATGGCAATGACTACGTTCAATCGTACAAACAAAACTTCGGCCAAGCGAGGCGGTGCAATTCGGAGACCAGAGTCGGTTTTTGTTTTTAGGGCTTGAGCGCATGATCTGCCAGTCGTTATCCAGTTCTCCTTCGTTGTTCGGAGTGACATAAGTCTACGTTGCTTGCAGCAAATTGACATCAAACAATCCAAGCCTTAGAAGATGCAGGGTTGTCAGGTTCGCGCCACAACCGATCTTGTCAAGCCACAATGCCAGACTCAGCCGGGCAACGGTATCTTTTCCCTTTCTCGTGCAGGTACGTCCCCTTCAATGCCAAGGAGAAGTTCAAGAGCCTTGGACTGCAGACTCAGTGATTTCAGGAAGCACTGCAGATCTGTAGGTCGGCTCTGCAAAGCCGAGCGCAGTTGTAAGCTGCAGCACATGTCCATTTTTTCGGCACTTCTGCGCCCGCTGCTGTTTGTCTACATACCGCGGTGCCGCTAGTAGCACTGCCTTTCAGCAATAAGCCGAACGAAACTCCATCTAGAGACTGCCCCGCACTGGGCCAATTCAAGAAATTGGAGGCACTGGGGGTTGCTGCAGGAGGCTCTTGAGACCTCAGCATTTTCCCAGTTCTTAAGGGTCTGAGAAGCCTCAGGATCGAATCTGAGATCCACCGTGCTGTGGTGGCCAGAGATCCAAGGCCAGCTTTGGGTTCAGTCATGGTTTTGACGTGGTATCGGCTCCCTGCCTCAGAAGTCGACTGCGAATATTCTGGGTCGGTAGCGGAGAGGGGGGTAAAACAGGTGCCTGATTCGAGGAAGCCCTGAAAGGGTAAAAACGCTTGGTGACTCCTGTCGGTCACAAAGTTGCCTGTTTTTTGCCACCACGTTTCGCAGACACAAGTCTTGGGTTTCGATGCGGCCGCCAGGGCGTCGCTTCGGAGTTTATTGAAGCTGGGTTTAGGGTGGTATCAGATTTCACCAAGTTTCCGGCTAGAACTGAGGGCAAATCCGTCCAACCACGGGGACGAACAATTACCGACAGTATTCCTCAGGGTTCCTTAACGTAAAAATTTTGTTCCCGGAACTCTATTCTGCACACTTGTCAACCCTCCCGCATGTCCTGCATTAGGCTTTATTATGGTTTCTACAATCCTCCTGCAGGAACACCAACTTCCTGGAGTACAGGAGCTACAAGATCATCTACAGGCGCTTCCTGTTTTCGCTCATGTATGCCGCCGATGAGTACGCGATGCTCCGTTCATCACGATCTGTGTGCCATGCCACCCAGTGCCCTGAACCCTACATCCTCTCCTTCGGTGCCCACACCTGATGATCAAAATCTGTGCTGCTCCAACGCGGGCAGGGGCTTTAGGCCGTCGGACGGCCCTTCCTGTACTACTTATAAATATTGGTCAGTTGCCTTGTTCCGATGTCCATCTTTCCAGCATCTTAATTGCGGACTGCAGGCGATATGCGGGAATGTTCTTCATCTTCTGCCCCTCGGAATTCAGAAAAAAGGGGCTTGAAGCTTTTCCAGGCTGTCTTTCTCAATGTTTCGGCCCTTCTTGTTGCTCGGTCTTCTTCATCTGAATGTGTAGAAAGGGCAGAACTAATAGCATTACATGGCATTACCATAGCAATCATCATCATCATCATCAGCTTCTTCAGATTTGGATGGTACAGTCGCAGACACATGAGCACATGTTGTCGTAGTACTCGCAAGAGCAGCTGGCCTACCCCTGTTTTGTGAGCCGTTTGAGCATCGACCCCTCGAGTCGTTAAATAGCCCAAAGCCAAAACCGTCATGATCTGAGGCGTTGACATGAATGACAACGAGATGGGAATGCTGGACGGGCCCAGGGGTTTTAGGTTGTGGTCAGGCTCTTGCTTCAGGCGTTTTGGAAGAGGTTTGTGTTTGATCGGGACCAATGATCACTGCTTGCGGTTGAAAAAGAGGGCTCTCATGCGATTGGCCTACGGCGTCAACCTGACAAGCTGTGCCGAACAAGCCACTCCGCATCTTTCAACCTGCCTGACCTAGCAGAACCTATCACCTAGCATATGCATAACGTGTGTGTGTGTGTGTGTGCGCTTCTCTGCATATTGAGCAATACAATCTGTTCGTAAGCGCCCACCGGCAGGAGCTCATCCATCTTTTCGTGGAAGTGTTGGATGGGCCAGAAACTTACCGACTCATCCTGGCCCTTCACATATCTCGTTTTTGTCTCTTGCCGCGCATCGGCGGAGCCTTTAAGCGGAAAAAATCAGGTACTTCGGAAATGTTTGCGAACTGGACCTAGTCTTCCACTTCGACAAGGCCGGGACATTCGCTGCCGCTGCGGCCAGTCGAGCATTGAATGCGGCATGTGCTATCGACACAGGGACAACAACAGATAAAAAGATAGAGACAGCAAAGCACTTTTACGTCATACCCTGGAGGTCTACCGAATCTTAGACGAGCTCTTGCTTGCGGGAGAAATCTCCGAGACGTCCACGCGAACCTAATCAGCATGAAGTGTGCGATTGAGAGGTTTTTAAAACAGTGGGCAATACGTCATCGCATATATATATATGTATAATATATATATATATAACATATGTATATATATATATACAGATATCTAGATAGAGAGAGAGAGAGAGATATATATATATATAACTCATACGGCTGGAGAAGGCGGTGTCACACCGTCGCAAAATAGACTTCGACCAGAGAAGAGATGCAGGTCGTGCATGTTGTCTGCTTTGGCACAGAATTGCCGAGCCAAGGAAATATCATCACAATCATGAGGCGCGGTGCGGCTGCTGCCTGTTGACTAAATCATTCTAATGCCATTGCCCCCGATGTCGTATCTCCAACTGAAACCTCCAACCTTTGTGCACTTGCATCCGTTATGATTTACATCATCACGCGCTCGAGGGCTGTGGTTCATTCAGGGGAGAAGTTCTTCAAAGCCATTGGGCATCAGAGTTGATCATTTGTCAGCAACTGCCCGGCTCATGTGGCCAGGAGCGTAGACAAGATGGACTGACGGCCTGCGCATGAACCCACAGCCCAGTCCAAGGAACGCCGGGGTCAGAAGATAGTGTGACAGCACTTCTCCGTCTGAAAACCTGAACTCAGCCTTGGGAGGTAGCCATTTGCATCTCATGTTTATCACTGCATCCCCGAGAGAAATGGAGCTTACTTCTAGAAAGCATTGTTTGCCTGCTTCGTGCACTGGTGCTACTTCAGTGCATTATGACTGCTATACACTGTCACCATTAACTATGCAACATGTTTGTCAGAGAGAAAAGGTGCGTGCATTGCATTGGCCCAACTTCCGACCCTGCGTTTTAGAGAAAAACCGGTCATTCCAGCGTTTCACCACACATCAAGAGCCGCCAAGCCAGCAATAGATGCTCTTAGCTGGAGCCTGCCGTGCTACAAGCTGGCAATCTGCTGCTCGTTAAAAACAGTTGAATGTCCAGCGCTTACGGATAGTTGGTCTGGATATGTCTGGATCACAGCGGGCTATAGCGGGTTGCTTGACCGACCATTCCCTTTGGAGCAACTCCTCCTCGCCCTTCGCATACGTGATGTCGGTGTTCAGCGGTCATCATATCATGACATTCCGTGTTTAAGTCTAGTTTATTGTCCGGACTGCCGCTGGTTCGAAAACAGCCTTCCGATAAAGCTCTGATTGCGTGCAGAAAACTGTTGACGGCTTGGAATTCAGAAATTCGGCTCTCGGCACTCCTCAACATCAAATCTGCAAACGGCCGCTATGGCCTTGCACGAAAAGCCCAACACGTTTTTCCGGGATCTCAACACATCATCTCACTAAATCCGGCGGGAAACCCTTATGTAATCGTGACCCCTAACCTGCAGACACATGTTTCGCCTGGATTGTCTGAGTCTGGAGCATTGAAACTCAAATCCGGCATTTGGCTCAGCCCCTGCCAAGAGAGTTGCAGCTTCCGCGTAGAGCACATTCGCCCCTCAGCCAGGGCCCTGGTAACTTGACTATTGGGGGCCTTCGGGTCAGGACTTTTAGGGCTCAGGGTTTATGAGGGTGTGGAATCAAGATGTGCAGCTGGGATATGAGCAGCTTGAAGAGGAGGGGGTCAGCGGGTTTGTACTTTGAGTGCGGCACGATTCAAAAGTTCCTTCAGCAAATACCGACTTGCCTTCTCTCGCGAGCACTCAATTCGTGTGGTCCTGCGAACTGTTTTGGAACGACCGCTTAGGGCAGCCATTGTATTTAATACATGGTTATTCTAGTATGTTATACCCTAAAACCCAATTCTAGCCTTAAATGTATTGATGAATGCTGGCATCTTTGCTGGGGCCTTGCAGTGGATACATCCCTTCACCCGCCCTGGCCGTTGAATCACTTCTTAGGTCCTAGCAGCTGTCCTAGCATGCCAACTCAAGCAATCAGATGCACTTCGCCCGATGAAACTAAGGCCAGAACCCCATCAACTCCTCAACAGTCTACCTCAGAAGGCAAGCATGCACGCCTCAAAGAAAGCTTGAAAGGCCAGCAGAAATAGTGCACGCTTATGAACCACATCCTCGCGCCACCTCGTTTTGTACAATACGCCCTGGGAGGAATCATGTCTGGTCGAGGTCGATCCAGGTGCTGATTTCTGGGGTGAGGAGGGCTTTCGAAGGTCAGAGAGAGGGGTATCCTACAGAGGCTTTGCCCTCGCGTTGGTAACCCATCAGTGCTGTTTCAGGTCAGTGTCGTTGCTGGGCTTACGAGGGCTGATAGGCTCCTACAACCGTGTGTGATCTGGGATGTGCTTGAACCTTTACATCGCACCAAGCTCAACGCGGGGCTTTCCAAGCACCTTGTATAGGCAAATGATCCTTTCTTGGCTGCAGCTGCCACCTAGTTGAAAGTCCGTAGAAGTTGGACACGACTCGACTGCAAGGCACAGTCGTCTGTGCTGTCAAGTTCCGGCATCGGATTGCTGTGAGACATGTCAGAACACCATCTCACTTGACTCAGCAGCTTGCCACGTTGCAGGTTTGTCTCCGGGCGGGGCCTGTCGCATGTAGCTGCCTCGTGCTGAGACCTGGGGTAACTCTGAAGTCTGAAGTTCCGTGGATCTACCAATCTTGGCAGCACAAGCTGCCAAACAATCGTAGACGCTGTCGCTATACACAGCGACTTCAGCGCAGCGTCCCTATCTAGGATAGGCAGAGAATGAGATCAACGCAGAAAGCACGTACGAGCCCCACGGCCGCTAGGCAAGTTTCGGGCTTCACGAGTTCAAAGATCGTTCAAGCAAGTACTCAATTCCAATGCATCCTCCCTTGAGGCCGTGGTCGGCTCTTTTCTCATCGTTGCCTCGCTCCTGAGCATTGCACGACTGTTTGCCCAAGACTCGGATGAAGACCACAACTGTGTGTTCTCTGGGCTGCCGAAGGAATCATCACATACATACATACATACATACATGCATGCATGCATACATACATACATACATACATACTCCTAGACAGACCATATCCACAAGACATACACAAACATGAAAATGCCAGAAGTAGATAATAAAAGCATAAACAAGTTTATATGACAGTACATGGCATTTTTGTATTGTGTTATATGCTATTTATATAGATGGTAGATAGCTGGAAGGTATAGCAGTCAAGCACTTTGCGTCGACTATATTGCATGCAACTGCGTGCACACATGCATCCACCTTATGTGTGCGTACGTCTGCGTGTGTGTGTATATATATATATTTACATACACACAGTGTATGCCCAGCATGCAGATACGTGTATACATACGACTACACACGTACATACAGACACACAGATGAACATAAAAGTTGAGTTTATGCCCACTTGTACACATACTTCTTCTGGCAGCTGTATTTATCTTTACTCCTTGTTTTGTTCGTGGTAAGATTACCACGGCATCTCGTTGCCTGTAGGTATGTATGCATACATGCATACATGCCCGTATGCGTGACCTGTATGTGTGTCTTTGCGCGAGTGTGTTTTGTATAATATACCTGTATAACTTACACACTCAAACACCCTGGAAGCTGTTCATTGAAATACTCATCTCCTTGTAAGGTCGCGACGCCACAGACCGCATCACGGGGAGCTCTTCTGGCTGTGCCCTAAGGGTTTTCCTGGTGAACATTTCCGTGCGCGTCTTCAAAGGACTCAGGACCTGTGAAGCGCACACCTTTTTACAAACTACACGCCGCACTTGGAAGTAGCTCTGCACAATGGGCAATCCAGCATCTTCTTATGCTTATTGTGACAGGTAATTAGATGGTCCCGCTGCTTCGGTGCTTGCCCTAAACTGCTAAAGGCCCAGAGTCCTATCCATGAGGCTCGCAGAGCAGCACCGGCACTAGCGCCTGAGCCTCAGCCTTTGTCTTTGTTGTGAATTTTTGACCCAGGATTGGGGATTCATGGTATTGCGCATGTATTGCTCATGGGGCTTCGGTATACGCGGTGAGGTGAGTAGGCGGCACTGCTCAAACCCAGTTTGCACAATCGAACCGGGATTGTGTGCACTCCAAAACCCATACTGCTTTAGACCTGGAGCTTTGCTCTTGGACTGTGGCATGGCTAAGTTACCCTTCTTTGATCCACTCTAATCAACTCACCCCAATCGCGCTCAGCAGTCATCTCAATCTGCGAACGAGGCCAGCTCCCACACGCAGCTCGCAGCCAAGTGCCCCACTTCCTATCGACCACAGCCGTTATGGCGAAAAGGCTCGAGATGTACCGCGTGGTTTCCATATTCGAGGCATGTCCTACCTCCTGGATAAGCTTCATGCAAATGGTCTGGCTTGTTGACCAGCTGGCAACAGCAAGTTGGAAATCAGATCCTGAATCACGAGTCACAGTCGGTAAGCAGCAGCAGAAACAAAGCTTTCAGCACGGACATGCTGCGGGTTACAACAGCGAGCTCAGCTTGGTGCAGGTGCGATGGTATGCGGAGCCACAGATGTCAAGGCACCATGGTAAAGTATACAGGGGCCTTAGAGTTCTTTGATATAATTAATAACTACCCCAAACTTTACAGTCTGGAAAATATAAAGGACCCTATGCCCTGCATTACACCGTCAAGTGGGAGGGCGTTTCACTAGCATCGGGTTTTGCAAGACAAAAGCCTTACGGGGAGTTGTAGCCGCCGGTGTTTATGTTTCCGGGGCAATCGAAGCACCGAGGGTCGTGATGGAAGAGTGGTGCCCCATCATAATTTCACTCCCCCTTTGTTCCAGAGGCTCTGAGACGGATAACACGCGCCGCTGCCTTCGTAAAAAGCCCCCCGCCCCCCGCGCCCCTCCTCTCAAAGATCGAAGCAACTCGAGATGAGAGCTGGAGCATACCGCCGTCAGTGGCAGGTGCTCGCTAGCCCGCGTAAAGGTTGAGAACGGGCGGCATGCTCTGAGGGTGCAGTCGAGTTTGGCTCCAGGAGCATGGGGAACTCGATGTTTCTTTATAACTACCACTGATGTACTACTTGCAAGAGCCGTGGCGTTAAAGATACTTGTTGTTTAGGCTTCCGCAGTAGAAACAGAAAGCTCTCTTGAAGGCCTCCGGAATGGCGGGTGCTGCTCCTGGATAAGACCTTCAGGCCCAATTGCTTCGGTGGCTTCGTCTAGTGGCCCGGTTGAAAGAGCTGGGGGGCTGTGAGCCTGTGTTGCATGCGCGATTGAGCCGTTAAGGGCTTGAAGGCTGGGCTGCGTGGTCATGTGTGGCAATGATACACATTTTGCAACCCGCTGTTCCTTTTGTACTTCTGCTCTTGAGTCGTCCATGTTCCCCCGTGGGGGGCGGGAGCGTCGTTCTGCATTCTGTGGATTCCACTACGTCTCGTGAATTAAGCCTTTATCTCGGCCGACAGGTTTTTCTTGGCTCAAGGCCCTGCCCTTAAGAGCTGCATGCCCTGACGCTGAGCTATCAGATCAAAACCCCAGCCGAACACAGCTACGCTCCCCCCACCATCCAAGTGCACGAAGTCTGCTATCATAGGAAGCGCAAGCACGCAAATGGCTAGCATAGTCTGACGGTTTTGCGAGCCACAATCATAGTCACGGAGGACGCGCTGGGAAGCGATAGGAGTTTGAATTTGGGTGCTTCTTTCCATTCGCCCGCAAATTGAAGCGGCCGAGCTGCGACGCAGAGAGGCCAGCAGTAAAGTCTCGAGTCTAATAGGCTGCAGACTTACAGAATCCTTGTTGTAACCCTTACAGACCCCTCTTTACAAGGAGCTTGATGAATGAAGCCTATGGGCTCCTGTTTGTAGAGTGTTGATGTTTAAGTTTAGAATTCAAAGGGGAGTGTCTAGGGTCCGCCAAGGATGCCCAGGATCAGAACCAGCACCTTGCGGAAATAACTTTGGTCAGCTGGGGATGGTATAGGGGTGGGGTTCAGGGTTCAGAGTGGAATCGGAGATCGCTCTGTAGCGATTGTCCCTTGATCCACCTGCCCTGTCAGCTTAGCAGATCTTCCCACAAGCCCAGCGCCGAAGCAAGCCGAGCCTCGATGCAACTCCACAGACACTTGATCATCTGAAGCAAGCGTTTGCCGTGTCAAGAGTACGCCGCAGCAATCTGCAGGGAAGATTGGAGAGGATGCCTTCCAAGGATCTCGGTGCATGATGACACCCTGTCATGTATACATAGTTGGGTTTTCCGTGCAGGTTATCCATCATGATCCCAAGTGCCTCGGCAATCGTTGGCATAAATCGTCATTTTGCGTTTTCATTTTGCAGTAGGAGAAGCAGCACTGCAGCCAGAACTACAGCTTCTGCCTGAGCCGGTAAGTAGCAGTTTCTTACAGCTGCGACTGCAGTTGAGTGTTGAGTTACCGATATTTGCTATCGGTATCCCTGCCAGCAGTGCGATAAAGTGTTGTCAGCCATCCGGTCGGGCTCATTCAGGAGTGCGGCTTGCCATTCTCCATAGTCTCCTAGCTCACGGTTGGTGTACTCAGGCCCCGAGCAGTTTACGCTTCACATCTGCACCTTCCTGCTCCTCGGACTGTGGCTTCGGCCGGGGCTGTAGGTGTACCTGCGCTTGTCGAGAACAGCTTCGTAATGAAGTTGTCCTGCGCGGCTGCTGGTTTGTTCCGGTCATCCCTATTCGCCCCTGAAATGAAAAGTCCACGGTATCGACAACCACACTATACTATGTCAAAGTGTTGCATTGCTTGAGACCTAATTATCAGAGATATTCCTACTTAATCTTAACTTGCGTTGTAGGACCGCTTTCCTACAAAGCCCCTGCAACCCTCCACCGCCGAGGGCCACGACTGGGCTGGTTGGCTTGGCGACATGGGTTCTCTGCACGCGCGTAATGACTGAGAGCAAGAACACAGGCAGGGTGTTGGGGCAGTTCCGGTTTGGACATGTTGGTGGGCGGAGTGGCAGCGAGGGAACACTGAAGCTAGCATGACTTGGTCAGGGCGCTGGATTTCGCGGGAGGGTCCGGTGAAGAGTGGTAGTCAGGTGTTTCTGGGCTCCAGGCCCAATTAAGATGGCTGTGTGGTTCGATCGGTACTTGAGTCCGTGCAGTCAGTCCTCTCATGGCCTCCTCTCAGACGCTTTGCATCATTCCTCCATCCTTCCGGCTTGGGCTTCTTTTGACCAAGTGCAAGACAGGAGCTGGTATGCTCAATTACGGAAATGGCAGTGCTTTTGAATCTTTGTGTGTTTCTTTGAGTCGATGGTTGTTTCTCTTGTCTGAGTCTAGGACAGTCATGGCTTGCAAGGCTTTTTGACCGGTTCACCTGTTGAAGATCCGGTCTGCCATCCTTGCTAGATGTTTACTCTCCAGATGAACGGCATATAGGCGTGTACTGTACAGGTGGAGCTGTATTCTTAGCGCACGTCCACGGCTGTTGTTCAGCTCTCATGACATTTGTTGGCCGACAAGCATGGTAACGACACAGAATCTCATGTCAGGCGCCGCCGATGACTTCTTCGCAGGTGGCCGATCACTGAAATGGCGCCCGGCTTTAATCGAGTCAGATGCCTCACAAGACGCTGCGCTTCAAGACGCCCAAATTCCAGTGAAGAATCACATCTGCGTTTCCATCCGGACCCGAGGTACGTGGTCGCAGGTTCCTTGATGCTCACGAACCTCTCCACAGAGCAGTTGGTGGGCCTGAACGGCAATGTGATCTGATTGCAGTAGCATTGGTTGGCATTGGTTGGACAGGCTCGTTATGCAGAACTGTTTTTGGACTTTAATTAGTGTGAAGGACAGGAATCGGCTTGAGTCGAGAGTGACTCCACACTTGCTTGCTTTGTGCAATATGACCAATATGTCGTCATGATGGCTTTAGCTTCCCCTGACCTTCCCCTTCCTCTCACTCACAGGTCTACAAGGATCGAAACCTGGCCGGGATTTGGTTCGAGGCCAGCCTCCTCGACTTGTCCCCTTTTAGGGTTGGTTTAGGGTTTCGGGTTGTGGCGATGAGGGCCTTCGGCTCAGCGATTTCAGCATCACTCCTTCGAAAGTCCTTCTTCCATCGTTCGGCTCCGCACCTCTTCTCATGATGGACCCCTCACCTCACGGTCACGTCTTGCCTCCCCAGGCCGGTGCAGCGATAGCTATGGTGCTGACCGCCACCGTTTTCTTGCATCTTGGCTGGAAACCTAACTTCTGCCGGGGTGCACGCGATTCTGTGCAAAAACGGATGTCTAAGGAATCTGTACAGATCCCTCAAACCTGTGAGTAAGTAGTCTGTTAGTCACATCGGCTGAGCAGTCTGCCTATTTAATGCTGGCTCAGCTTGCCACGAACTAGGAGACGCTATGCTTTTTGTTTCTAGCCCCGGGGAAAGAATCATGATTCTGACTCTCTAGTTCAACGCTGCTTCTTTCTGGAGACTTTTACGTCCATGACCATGTTCACCAAGCAACTGCTTCTCGATCTTCGCTTGCCGATGGGATGATTTTATATCTTATGGCGCGATGCACTGTCCTAAGACTGAAGGTGTTCTGCCAGACGACATGTAATCACCGCCTGCAGGCCACGATACATGGCCTTGGGGTTGACAACCACTTCGGCAACCTGGCAGCAAGTCTGTCTCTGGTTGGACAGGTCTAAGAGTCTAGTCAGAGGAGTTGGAGGGGCAGCGAAGGACACGACTTTGGCAACTATTGAAGGCCCCCCCGCAAAAGAGCGCTAGGCATCTTGTGCTTAGCATCAGCGTCGAAGCTGTGCTTAAAGCCGAAACTTGACTGGGGAGTATCAGCGAGTCTTGAACTCCGACTCCGACGGGATTCTGCAGTGCATCTCGTTGAGGCCTACCTCGGTGAGCGATTCGACCTATGCACCCGCACGCCGCTGGGCGGAATACCTGGCTTCTGTGCAGGGGCTGGCGAGCCTGCAGGTCGTCATTGTGAATGTCCGCAACCAACATCGAGAACACACACAAACATACACATGTCGCCGGATTTTGAAGTTTGAAGTATACATAGGTATGCATGCATGCATTTATGCCTGCATGAACACATTTCTTTGTGCGCTTCGCAGTGAACTCCGGACCTCGGAAAGCTTTTTGAGCAGGGCAAATCGCGGGGTGTTGTAAATGATCTTGTGGCTCCAGAACGAGAGGATGCACAGATGCTGCTATCGGAAGCGTTCGCCTCAAGGTCTTGACAGATGAGCGATAGACCAATACGAGGAACTACATGCATGCTCCTCAAAACCCCTATGCTGACTTCACATAGTCAGAGTCGTCGCAATACAGACATGACTGAAAGTGTCAAAGCTGTATTGAAAGCTCCACTCAAAGGAACCTTCATCACATGGGTAGCGACATGAACACAACCATTTTCACAACATCAGCCCAAAGCATGTAAAGTTCGAGGATGGGATCTGTCCTTTTCCTCGTTTTCTATGTGCAACTCGGTGGAAAAACGGCGGGGATGTTTTGAAGGGGTGGCCGCATCGTGTTCGGGGTTGGGCTACATGCCCTAACTAGTGGTGGGACATGTTGCTAGCTCGGACCGACTGGTGTCCTTATGGTTGAAATTGGCGTCACCTTGATTAATGGTAACATCAGGAGCGTAGCGGACATGGCTGTAGCAGAATGTAATCTGTAAGCCCAGCAACTGCCGCACAGCGTGTCTTCACAGCCGCGGTCACAGTAGAGAGTAGTGGTTGTGGTATGGACTTAGCAGTGCTGTTTGCTGCTGCAAGTGCCGCAGTGGTCTGCAGCCATGTAGTGGCGCATGTGGAGATTGTTGCTCATGTTTTCAAGGAGCCCATCAACAGTATCAGTAAATTACCATGCCCGGGTCGACACCTTTCCGCTTGCGTGCCTGCTTCGCCTACGCCGAGTCGTGCAAGGAAGAGGTGCAAACTACGTAGGAACTCTTGTTGGAGCTTACAAAACCGCATGCATCACCCCGAAGCTTTCATACCCAAGATCTTAAATGCGCGAACTTACAGTACACGCGCCCCCTGTGTTGCTTTGCGTCTAGAGCCAGTCAAGCATCGTTTCTCCGACTCTTAGCATCTTGGGACTTGAGGTCTAGGACGTCTGTGGTCTATTGGTACCAGCTTGGGGGTATGCTGAGGGTTGGAAGCGCTAGAGCCGACTTGGAACCGATGTTTGCAAGTAGGAGATGTTCGGTTCACCGGCGGTGGCAGCGCCCTCCAAGCCACTATCAAGCATGACAGAATGATCTACAGTGGCAGATGTGGCAGTGGTGAGGCAGCACACTCTCCAATTGAATAGTCAACCTTGATGCCGAACTTTGGCACCTGCATCAGACGCCACATTGCGTCTCCACCGTGTGGTTGAAACCTCCTGCGCATCATGTAGCTATGGGGTTGTCTTAAGTCAGCTCTCAGGGACTATGAATTCCTTATCCTAGTGTCCAGGTTTTAATCAGGGTCCCACATTTTTCGAAGCTCGCCGAAACACACAGGCCATAAACCCAGTCCAGGTTCCTGGTGTGCCCTTTTGCTCTCTACACTGGCTCCTTGGCCATGCGCACCTTCGCTTCATGGAGCGGTCTCATGGGAGTTTCAAGCGGTCCCATCTCGAAAACGGTAAGTTTCTACAGTGGTCTACCTCAAATCCATCTAAGCATGTTGTCCCTACTATGCAAGGCCAAAATCCCCATTAGACTCCCTGAAGTCCATTTAAGAATCTGCGCCACAATCCTCATCAGAATCCCTTATGGTCACTATGTAGTTCTACTATAGTCTACCCCAGAATCCCCATTCATTCCTATGTTCACCTTAGTCTGCGACGAGCTGCCCAAAATCCAAGTTGGAATCCCTCGTGGTCCCTATGTAATGATATGCTCGTAGAATCTAGCCGAAAACCCCCAATGGCAATCCTTTTCAGGCGCCATGTAACTCTACTATAATCGACCCCAAGGCCCCTTATCTCTGCTATAATAACCTATCTTCCCCAAAATCCCATAATCATCCCTGTACGTACAGTCGTATCGTATTTGTGTAATTTAATACCTCCCGCCAGATGCCAATCAGAAGCCCTTATATAGAATCCCTATGTAACTCCACTATAACCAACCTCCATAATCCTAGCAGCACTCCCTCACTATAGTAGTCTCTATGTAATTCTACTTTCATCTACCCGAGAAGCCCATGCCCCGCAAAATCCCTTCGTCGCGAGCCTCGCGGTTTCGGAAGGCCCCTATACGATCCTATCGTGTGTTTCATAAAGCACGCACACACACACACACCCACATGCATACATATACGTGCAAATAACGTATGTATGTATGTATGTATGTATGTATGTATGTATGTATATATATATATGTGTGTGTATGTATGTATGTATGTATGTATGTATGTATGCATATATACACACACATATATATATATCGCCCTGTTAGCCCGACTCCGAAGAAGTGACCGCCACAGAAATCCGGCGACTGCTTGACGCTTTTGCTTGTTGTGTTCAGTGGGACTGGAAATTCGCCTGGGGCCAGGAGTTCCGACAGGTGAAAAGCAACTTCGTTTGAGTTCAAACTCCAAAACAACGGTTGCAAGCTTGTGCGAAACATCGTGCAGTGCCCCGCCAGCTGCAGGCAACATCTTCGACCTCCACAGCATACCACTGTGGGCCACGGGGCTGAGCTCCGGAACTTTTGGGACTTGGGAGCCTTTGAGGGTTTCTGGCCTGGGGCTCTCTGTAAAGCACGGCAGGAGATCGGGGACTCTGTAGCTCTGTGTACCCACATGCACAGTAAGACTCCTATCAGAAATGAGTTGCGCCACTCTTCTTACTAATTAATTACAAATTGTTGTGCTACTCTTCTTACAACAAATGCCTCATAGCAATATCATTATGATTCTGTTTATGACTTCTTGTGAAACTACCTACCTACCTACCTACCTACCTACCTACCTACCTACCTACCTACCTAGCTACCTAGCTACCTAGCTACCTAGCTGCCTAGCTACCTAGCTACCTAGCTACCTAGCTACCTAGCTACCTAGCTACCTAGCTACCTAGCTAGCTAGCTAGCTAGCTACCTAGCTAGCTAGCTACCTAGCTACCTACCCACCTACCTACCTACCTACCTACCTACCTACCTACCTACCTACCTACCTACCTAC